GCTCCGAGTCCGTTTCGCATGAAGTACCGGGCTTTGTAGGGCTTCGTAGAGAGCAGAACGCGTCGGAGGGTCGATGAGTAATGGGTGTTTCTCGCGGAGATCAGAGTCGAGCAAGAAGAAAGATGCCGAAACGGTGAGTCATCCAGAAGAAGTGGCTTTTTGCCATGCCAACAACTCTATTTTCGGCTTCGTCTCCGGCCCTGTAGACTTCTTTTTTTCTTTCTCTTTCCTTCACGCACTTGAGGTCCTACCGATGAGTGAGCGAAGGCAAGGCGTCGAGGAGAGGTAACGTATGCATTCCTGAAAACGTGAATTTGCTTTTAAGACTAACGCTTGGGTTCCTTTTCCCCCTACCGGCCGCGTTCAATTCTCGAATAGGCATGAGATGCTCTTCGTTTCCAACACCCCATCGAGCACCAGATGCGTTTTGTTTCCCAAATTCTATCGGACGCTTCGATTCTTCTTCGAATTCGAAGTTCATAGACGCTTCTCTCCGGATCCTAGTGGGAAATGAGAGTGCCGAGACTGGAAGTTGCATCTTCACAGGGACGTGACTCGAATGGCAAAATAAGGCGATCTCGTATCCCCTGCCACGTCACGTGACCAGGTGGGAACACGACTCGGAGCCGTTCATCTGCCGGAGACCATGGGGAAACGTTTCTGTGCATCCGTATCTTCGCGTCTGTGCATTTATGAGGAAATGGGTCATATTTCTGGAACGAAGCGTTATTCTTAAATGTTATTCTCGTTATTCTTAATATTTGTTTTAAGTAATGTTGCTCGTCTACTCATCTGCTGGCTCTGAATTTTCTGTTCCTCGAGGAATCCACTCTTAGCATCTAGTTGGTTTTCCTTAACTGGACTTTCAAAAGCCTCAGATACATATACAATTGAGCCTGCAAATGTAATAACTCTCACTTGCTGATCATTTTCTCGTACCGAAGGTAACCGGTGGATTCCTGTCAATAACTCAATGGCATCGGCGATTAATTTGAATGTTAGGAACAGCGCGCGATGCCTGCGGAAGGGATTTCTTCGTGTCGGTTCTACCTGGGAATATATTCCAGGTTGTGAAACTGATGCACGTGGCTTTTATTCGAGAACCTAATGAGAAATTATCATACGCGCTTCGCAAACTGATGCGTACACGATCGGCTGGATCCTTTGAGCACGATGCATGCATTAATCGCATAAAGAAAGGAATGCCCCATTGATCGAGGTAGAGATGAGTGAGGCGGAGATTTTGAGGCCCGAACCGGATCCGTTCCCTTGGCCTTGGGTCTACGTCCACACCAGCGCAACTCTGCTGCTTTCTCTTCTCGTCTGAATCCGATTCGGGTCCGCGAAGAACTAATCCACCGAGATGAAATCCAGGAAAAGCAGTCCAGGAGGAGACGTAAGCTTTCTTACCGTCCTTGTCTCGTTTCTGTGGAGAGCCAACGAGCCCGACGCGGCTCGCACTATAAGACTTACCTTTCCCAAGTACTGTATCATACGAGGGGTGATCCAAAAGTTTCTGCCCTGAGATATAAGGGAATGTGATAGACCAGGGGTGTCAAACTCAAATCGGTCGGCGGGCCGCATTCCCTACCCTGCAGATGCATTCTGGCCACACCCATAATTTCTCATCGAAATCTGTGCCAACAGTCAATTCAAGCGGAAATTTCAAGAACAGGCGGCGGGCCGGATGAACCACCTCCGCGGACCGTATGTTTATGTATCACCCTTGTGATAGTCTGTTTAAGTAAATTGTATTTTTCAACATTGCCTCCCTGGACATCAATATTTGTCCAATTGATCGAACAGGGCTTCAATTTGTTTGGGAAAAAATTCATTTTCCATGGTCAACTAAAAATGCTCGAACGGCTCCACTGAATGATATCATTGTCAGTTTCACCTTTGTGGTCGCTTCACAGGAAGTTTTCCTTTAAATTGATATTATTGAATGAGCTGTCTTATTGAGATGAATACATTTATATAATATGAATACTTTAATTAACTCTTTCTCTGCCTAAATTTCGAAGAGGTAATAGAGTCGTGGGTGACTGAAGTTGCCTCTGACAGCAAAAGGGTTTTTTGATACGAATTTAAAAAACTGCTCCGTATTCAAAATTTTCAATTTTTAAATAGCTAAATTTTTGGTGGGAACATGTCTCATATACAAATTATGATTAAAATTTTAACGCACCTAAAACCAATTTCTAACCCTTTAAATTACCAAAAAGGATGAAGGAATATGGGAAGTAAATTTCAGCTCTCCGATCATTCCTACTACCTCAGGGCAGAAACTTTTTGATCGCTCCTCGTAGGTCCTTTCACGGCCGACAGGCTTTGCCAGCCCTCTCTTAGCCGAGGTCCAGTCTAACTCAAGTACAGGACCTTTCATAAATATGTACCACATTTGTCGATCGTAGTACTTATATTAAAATATTGATGAATCGGTTTTTACTTTTGCCGGTGACTTGCTACTTTTATGAGGTTTGATTATGAGGTAATTTATAATAAAAAAACTATAAGACATTCAATACGGGAATCCAGTGACCATAGTGTTGTGTTCATTGTGAAACAGCAAGAGCAGATTTTCGATTTTTGCATTGAAATTAAGTCTGCATCGTGTTCTTGAAAAAGTGATAAATGAAAAATCTGAAATCACCCTGAACAACCTATTCACTGTATTCTCAAATGTACCTAGGTATTATAATGTTAAAAAACCTCATAAAAGTAGCAAGCCACCTGCAAAAGTAAAACCCGAATTATCAATATTTTAATATAAGTACTACGTTCGACAAATGTAGTACATATTTATGAAAGGCCTTGTGCATGTCACAATGCCTAGAGTCCTCCCGCAAGAAGAGACGGAGATAAGCGAGACTCCTGCAAGATACTCAGCCTATCAAGAGCATTTTTTTAATGCATCGCTATCGGAGCCAACATTGCTGTCTTTCAGTTGGAGTTTAATCGAGCAAATTTTCGATGGGAAGAAGAATCCGCTGTCCCGATTGCAAGTAGACATCGGCGCAAGGGTCGTCGTCGGACAGGAATAAAGAGATGTTCTTGAAATTCTGTGAGAAACGCTAGCTTCCCACTTGACCTTCAACGATGTCATTATTTAAGCTATCAAGTTTCCGAAATGTTTGTTGAATTTCGACCGCTAATGGGGTGGAGGCGGGAAGAGAGGAGTACGTGGGTATGAGAATGCTCCATTTCGTCTCATTACCCTCGAGTAAGTTCCCGATATAGCATAAAAAAAAAACATTTGCCCGAAACTCTGAGCTGGCCATAGCAATCGAACAATTGTTCTGAATCGGAAAGTTTGGAGGACATTTACTGCATTCACTTCTCATGCGTGATGTTGCATGATAGGTTATATCATGGTAAGCAATATCTCATCGACATTCAATATCTTAAAATTAACATGATGATAAGCTCTTAATCATATACTCCCCAATCTTCTACTGCAAGTTGGCATGGATTATTATGGGAAGCCTGACTGTAGGCACACGTCGGTGATGTTGAGAAGACATTGATGGCTCTGACACATGGGAAAAGGCGAGGATGACTCAGAAAGTGGCTGGCGTACACCGTAGCGAGGACGTGAACCCGGGAAGGATGACTCATTCCTCCGCTCTGTTTTTGGCCCCTTCCCCAGCAACAAAATGGGAATCTTTTTCCTTTCTCTCCCGAGAAGGCCAGCCCATGCGATCCTCAATCAAGTTGGAAAATTCACAGTCCTAGGAATGCAATAAAAAAAAGGGGGAAAATGGGTAGGGGGAGGGAGTCGATATGCAAATGAAATGGACTGGAAACTTCGGAATGTAGATTTTTGGGAGAGGGAAACGAGTTGGACCGTGTTTTCTTTCCATTTCTCTCTTCTGGGAGCATTTCCTCGCCGATTATCGAGGCTTGAAATAGCTTTTCCTTCTCGTTTGGCTCGTCCCAGCAAGGACAACCGTGAAGGCCAAAGAAACAACTTTTTCCTTTTTTTTTGCTTTTTCTTTTCTAGCTCCTTGGCATCAGTTGTCTCCACGCGTCAAACGACCCAGTTCTCATGCGAAGCCAGAGCAAATATGAAATGAATCCTCGAACTCATCTCCGAATGAAGAACGTCTCTTATTTTCAGTAGAACGCAATAATTCTGAAATCCTTGAATCGTCTTTCGTGCATCGCTCGAAAGAGCCAAGACTTGCAGGGATAATGAGATACAATAACGTTGTTTAGAAAGAGATTCTCTTTGAAGAGGAAGCCACATTCCATTTCATGTAAAAGATTTATGGCGTACATAGAACGTGACACTAGGAATGCGGTTTCACGGATCATCGATGGGGGAATCGATCCAGACGTTTGTGTGGAGGCGAGGGGGGGGGGGGTTGGCAGATTCTCTGCGTGGAGTCTGGGAGCGGGAAACGAGGGCACGGACGGTTTTCCACAGTACTTGCACCTCCACTCTTTTACACCTGCCACATATAGGGCTTCAATAATGTTCATGTAACCGTCATTATGCAATAAAGAAGAGTACATCGTGTGCTTCCTATATTTCGATGACGCACACCAGAAGTAATATGAGTATCAAGTTATCGGCTAGCACGAACCGATACCAAGTAAACACTACATGTACCTGATCTGTATCGACGATTGTCGACTAGGACAGTACAAGCACGTCATCTTCCTGCCACGTAACGACCATGAGTCATTGGCTGCTTGGATTCCTTGACCGCATCACTTCCCACTGCAGTCTACTTTTCTCGTAAAGAGGAATGCTACGAAAACGGCGGCAAGGTTTCTCGGTGGAGATGACGAGCCAGACACGTGTCCTTCGATGAATCACTCCCCGTTATTCATTGTTCAGAAATAGTGGCAGGGATATCGAAAGGAGTAAAAATAAGGTCGGAGTAAGAAGCAAGGGGATGGAGGAGATGTGTACGTGGGTGGAAGCTGGGAGCACGTGGCCCGGGAACCTATTTCCGACCACGCGAGGGCCGTGTGCAAAAACCCACCTCTCCGTGCAAAAACACACTCCCTCTCCGGGTGTAACTTCAGTTCAGTGCAGTCGAGTTCTGGTGGCCGACGAAGCTGGTCCCTTCACAGAGACGCTTTCCCGGATAGCAACGCCCTTCGGTCCTCTTACCTCGTCCTCATCGGTGACATAGGTCAGTGGTTGGTTAAACCCTTGGACTGCTCAATCCATAAGCTAACAGTGCCATGGTAATTTCAGCCAATTTTATTTCAAGATCTCAATTTCTATTTTCTCTATATGTGCAAATAACAATGCGATCATAAAGTGCTAAATATTTTAGGAAAAATAGATGAGATCAACTCCGGCACTACAGAATTGTCTTAAATGTAATTTTTATTTACTCTGGTTAGTCCTAATGCTAATGCATGTTATTCTCCGGCGATTTCACCTAAATATGCTTTGGTGATTTCACGGACATGCGGAAGTGTTTTCCCATTTAGCTTTCAGGGCGGACTGCTGAATTTTTGACAAGGGATTCCTGATTTCATTTCACGTGGATCCCACCAAAGCCTTAGTCCCTAGCTGTTCGTAATTAAATAATGTTTTGCCTCCTGTCAGAGCTTTTAATCCGTTCAGAATAATCGGGTTGAATGAAGCTTCGATAATTTCATCTGGGGAGGTGTATTACATGTATATGGTGTGTCCTGCTTTTTAAAGTAGGCATAAGCACTTAGTAGTAAGGATTTCTATTACCTGCAGACATGAAACTGTGCATTCCCCTGCTGCTTGCTTGGTTTTTGGAGATTTTAGTTTTAGTTGAGACTACCAAATATAACTCATTGTTCTCTAAATCGGAGGAATTAAGGGAAGCCCTTACATGCAATTTAATTGTTTAAAACTGTATTCCAAGGTCATGATGGTTATACGCACCAAAATGTAGTTAATATCAATTGTCACATTCATATCAGTTTTAATGTGGAACAGAACAGATTCGCTGCTAGGCTAAGCTTCCCAGCAATTTTCACAAAACGGACTCTAGTATGCCCTTCATGACTTCATAAAGTTACGTTGTAATAGCAAATGACGGCGCAATACCTCGAAGTTAAGCACCCTCTACCTAGTTAGTCTTTGTCTTGAATAAGATCTGAGGGCACTTTCCCATTGCCCGTGATTGAGAGGCCTTTTCAAGGATTTCCACGCCTCGTTATTCATCCAGAGTTGGTAAGAGAAAGGGGTATTAGGCATGAGCATATCGCCATAAAAGCCGAAATTAAATCCAAATGGAGGGAAGGACTCTCTTAATCCTTCAAGGTACTTGAAAAAGACAGGGGTAATTGCGGACGTTATTGCAAGGAGGTTGGGTGATGGAGTGGACGGATCTGGTGAAGAGGGCAGGGCCAATTATCGATACAGGGTCTTACTTTCCTACCGTCGAAGAACGGAAGAGAAGCTAAGACTTTTTTGCTTGGATCCTCCCCAACAGAGAGTCTCGTACCATTTCCGATCGGATATCGAAATTGCGATGCTTTTGGCACCCAAATGCATCTCTTTGATCTAGATTTTTGTTCATAGAGATCCTGAACCAATTAAACCAGGGTGCACAACTCAAAAGGTTGTGAGGGCTATTTGCGATTTCCACTCACCTACCGCGGGCCGCAGTCTGACTGACTATAGCTGTGGCCAACAGGACAGGAGCCATAGTATCACTTTCAATGCCACCAATCGTGGCGGGCCACTAGGAAGGGCCTCGCGGGCCGTATGCTGTGCACCCCTGGATTAAACCGATGTCGCAGAGTTCATGGAGTGCCCTAAAACTAGGAACTTGTTTCTCGCCAGTTAAAGCTCCTCTGCATTCATTCCCGGAATGGTTGTCATTCATTCACTGCTTCCTACCCCACTTCAGGTGGTTTCCTTCTCTCGGGTTCTATGTAATAGTCTGGAGCTCGAAACTACAGTATGATATCAGCCTTGAATCTCGTCTTCACGACGAAGTTTGTACTTGAGATATTATATAGATATCTCTGGGATTCTGGATCTATTTGATTTAATGGGCACCTCAAGATGTTAACCCTCCGTTAGTCCTCCCATTTATCGGTGAAGTCGTTTTCAATGTCGCGTGGGGCTCATTCGACCCTGGAAGAGTAACGGAGGATTAACGAAGGAGCCAGCCTTTTATGAAAGATCAGTGAGCATGTAGTGTTATGCCTGAAGAAGATACAGCATTCCAGCAAGTAAGTCCTAGTGATGTAGAAAGTCCTGGTGTTCAACTCGTTTGCACACTTTAAACGAGTCGTTGGATGACATGGGACGAAGTTTCAAAAATGGGGAAAACAAAACTTTGATGATGGAGAAATGAATCTCTGTGGAATTGCTCGAACGAGGAAATTCATATTTGCAAAAACGGAGGGAGCAAAGGTAGCATTGAAAAGTAACAATATACCAGTAGATTGTCAAAATGCCATGGGCTTTGATGATAAATCCTCTAACGTGTTTGTGTATTGGCCGGTGACATCCTGCATTGACAAGATAGCCATGACCTGTCCGTCGAATGTCCAGATACTGTGCCATACCGGACGGTACATTCCATGGAGCTGTAGACAACGTATAGGAGCAACATCAGTTGATCATCCAGGGAATATGAGATTCTCTGCGTGACCGATGTTATCATCCCTCTAGCAATTAATTGGCCATCCTGAAACGGGTGTACCAAATGTTGAGGATGTGCCTGGAATCATCCTGCTCTGAGTTCTATGGTTTCCCGGGCCTTCGATATCGCAACGTATTTTTCCTAAGGACTCTATGGGCCGAGAAGATCGCAACGAAAGTGTAAAATAGCAGCAGTCGGGGGTAGAAACCGGAAACCATAAGGATATCCTTCTAATCCTATGTGATTGGACCCTCTGCACGCGCAGCCTTTCATTCTTTCGGTGGTATTTCTTGGAGACGAGGTGAATCACATGCTAATGTAGATGACCGTTAGATTGTGAATCAGACGAATTCAGTGAGCCTCGTTGTGATTATGAAAACCACTGGTGAACTTCATCTACATTGTCGACATCAAAATTCCCCATTAGCATGATACATTTTAGGTTTGATGCAGTCCATATTGCATTGTGGATAGAAGGCAAGTGTGAACCGTCTGTAGGAGATCACATTATCCGTCGATAGGAGAATCTCTCCGCCATTGAGTTGGGAATGATAATGATGGGGCTGTCCCGGTGGCCACATTTGGCCGATGGATCGATGGCTGATTATGAATTCTCACCCATCGGCCGGTGCCGATGCCGATTGTGACATGTACTGTATATAAAGATCGAAGAACCATATAAAATACTTATTCAAGTAAGCTATGTTGTACTTTATTATTATTATTATTATTATTATTATTATTATTTTTTTTTGGGGGGGGGGGCTGTCACGATGGTTGTTTTGAAAACGTTTTATAGATGTGAACAAGAGATGGTACATTGATACACCGGGTGGGGTTTGCCGGCGGATTCAGTTATCTCTCGTCGCGATCGGGCAGAGGTTTCGCTTTCGTTGTTTTTTGCCTCGATCGCGCCACGGACCTCTTTCCATCTTCGAAAATGATTGATGCATCGAGATAGCATACTTTTTCATTATTGCTATTGAGAATCATTTACCAAACCGCGTTTACCTGTTTTTTCTTTTTCTTCGTTCAGTGAGTTCTTTGGGCATCAGCATCGGCAGCTTGCAAACCTACCGATGGCACCATAACGGCGGCCAATGCTGGTGGCTGCCGATGCATCGATATAGCCCTGACATTCGAGTAAGGTATATGTACATGATAGCTAATTCTTCGGGTGCCTTTTTGAAATGTGTATTGCAATTTCAATTCGTAGCTACCTGTTGGATCCCTCCCTTCAGATATAAATCTAGGCGTTTTGCATTAATTATAAAATAGTCTGTGTCAGATTCTACCAAACTTCCTATGTGTAGTGGCAGGCCCCCTCCAACGCAAATTGTAATATACTTTAAAAAAAAAAAGAATTTTGTAATATCTTTGCTTTCGACTGTTATCTTATAATAATAAAAGATAGCAATTGGCAATTCTTACATTCTTACAACTGCGCTTCCTCTCAAATGAAAATTCAAGGAAGCGGTGTGAGAAGAACTATTCAGACGATGCGTACGAGAAACAATTTTATGTTGACAAGGAAGGGAATGGATTTTCGAAATCTGATATTACATCATATGACAACGGCGACGGCTCCCCATTGGGGCAGCGAAGAACGTCAATGAGACTTAGAGAGTCGAAGAGGATGGGGAAATCTCCCTTGAGAGGATCTATAGATCTAGGCCGTGGGAGGGGGGAGAAGGAAGGAAGGAAGGAAGGAAGCCCGGGCCAAGTGAGAGAAGGGCCATATTTAGGACGAGCTCTGTCTTGGCTTACGTTCTATTTCCACGTCACCTGCGAGGAATGAAAGAGGAGAGAACAACTCCTACCTTCTTTTCCTCTCTTTTTTTTTCTTTCTTTCCTTCGTTACAGTGTTGGCAAACGTGAACAGATCCTCAAGCTTCTTCATTTAGTTCTGAAGATTTTCTAGGTTATGGCTAATTCCTAAAGCCAAGAATGGAATAGGGAGTCAAATACACAGGAGGATCAAGAAAAATAATTAATATTCGGGTGAAGACGATCAAAGAAATGATTAAATCTGCTCATCTTTCAGGAATTTCATCCTTGAGAATTTTTGCTTTCGGGAGAGGGAGTTTCTAGCTCTGGAGTGTTTTTATTTTTGCGTATTCTACTTTCTTTCTTTTACCCTCCTGAATTGATGGAGCTGAAATGGCCTAGTATCTCCTCATTCACGAAATGCTTGCCCGTCAGACGGAGAAGTTGCTTAGATCCAGTGGCGTGCCCAGAGGGGGGATGACCCCAATAACCCCTCTTCCCTCTTGGGATACATTTCACAGATTTTGATTCTTAAACATTTTTTAAATTTGGGCATAAATGCAGGGTGGGCTACCAATTTTTCATATGTCAACCCCCAACCATTAGGATTTTCAGGGCACACTACCACTTAGTTCAGCACCTTTTCCGGCTGAGTAATTCTCATTCTGGCTGCCGTGAAGCCAAATTTCTCATCATCGTCAACATGAGCATCCTCATCCTAGAGGAGCTGTTTAAGCAGGAACTAATGCTGTCAAAATGTCATATATTTTGGCAAAACCCCGACAGGGTGACAGTTTTATATGTTGCCTGTCTCACCGAGCATGACTAATGTTTGGTTAATTTTTTTCCTACCGTTGCTTCCGCAGAGAGGTGATCCAAGATGCCTTTCAAGCCCGCAGAACAGGCGAAGTGCCCGAAATGCGGGAAGTCCGTGTACGCCGCCGAAGAGAAGGTCGCCGGCGGCTACAAGTTCCACAAGTCTTGCTTCAAATGCGGTACGTCGTTCTTATCATCACCAAGATGTAGACTAATGGTCGTCGATCGATCGATATGAGATGCAGTTCCACCCATATTGAGCTCGCATGTGTAACAGATGATCTGCCGTTCAAGTCGACTTTTCGCAACGTATTTGAACGCGATCAATAGCTTGATACTCTTGCAAATCATTGCAACCAACTGGTTGGAATCGTAGATTGAATTTAGCTTTATCTCAATAAGACTGCCTGTCCAACATCTCCTAAACAAATGGATTTGTCCAACCTGTTTAGTTTCGGATGGTGGACTTCACCAAATGATTGAAATTTCTTGCTCCTGGGACGTTTTCTATTACTTTCTTAAGGGCGATTTTGCCTTTAGCAAGTTTCTTAGCTGGTATTTGCCCCATTCAAATGTATGGCTAAGGTTGAGCAATTTGCTTTATTTAAGTCTAAGATTTTAATAGAATACTGCCTGTTCTCTGGAAACGTGAGAATACACAGGTTTTTCGTTCTTCCTCGTGAAGTCTGCGCGTCTGAAAAAATGTATTCGTGAAACACGTATGTTTCTTCATGTTTCTTCGTTTCTTGCCGCAGAGATGTGCAACAAGATGCTGGACTCTACCAGCTGCGCTCCCCACGATGACAAACTGTTCTGCAAGCAATGCCACGGGAGGAAATACGGTCCAAAGGGTTATGGCTTCGGCGGCGGCGCAGGTGCCCTCTCCATGGACGCTGGCGAGCAGTTCGGCAACACCGAATCTGTCTCGTAAGTTCCTTCACGACGCTTATCATAATGCCAAACGAAAAAAGCACCTACGTGTTGAATAGCCATTCCATTCTCGTCGTTATCTTCTATCGGGAATCGAAAGTTTCAAGTTTTGGAGCGACATCTTTACATCCTTGTACACTTCAGAAATTGTTACATGGGCTTTCAACAAGTACGTGATTTTTCCTTTGGAAGTAGTATTCTCACTTTCTTATCACTCCTTTGCTATAATCCCCTGCATCTCGACTGCGACTGACCAGGAAAAATATGCAACTCGCGGTCCTTGACTTCATACTTTCCTCTGTCGATTGCTAAACGCGAGGGCCCCTCAGTGAAACAAAAACGGAAGTAAATCCGATAAAAGCAGAACAGGAAACTGAGGCCGAACATGCTACCTTCATATTGCATGCACATTTGCCCTGATTTATTTATTTTTGTTTAGGCCAAGGACCTTGCCAGTTTCCGCACCCGAAATGATCTATCCCATTATGGTCTCCTTTTCCGATACGTGCCTCTCCTTCCGTTCCATTAACATCTGATGGGCCCTCTAAACATGAATCTGATTCGAAATTGCCGACGGAGTCTGTAAGGTAATGCATCCAGAGGCAGAAAAATCCATGGAGAAATACTTGCTCCCTCCATATGCGAAGCCTCCTAATAAGTATGCGCCGCGTTTGGTTCCTCGTTCCGCTTCAGCGGATCGGAAACTGGCACGGTTCTTCCTTTTGGCCTTTGCCTTCCTTCCCTCATTCAAATGAACTCATCTCGCATTTTGCTAGATTTTTGGAAGGCAAAAGCATTTGAAGCTCACAGTTGTGCGAGCATCGCATCGAGACGCATCCATCACCGCCTCGAAAAGTCCGAGTACGGAATAAATCCTTTTGCGTGAAAGGACTCGACGATATTGGAATTCAAGGAAATGGAGCTTTTATGAAGGGGAAGTGGAGCTGAAAAGTCGCTCGATGCGCGTTTTAAGCGACTCTTTTCGACCTTTCTTTATCCCGATGGCAATCTAGGAAAGATCGAAGGCTTGCATGAGAACTTTCCTCATCGATGGCAAATTCAAAATCATGGTTTGTAAAGCATCGTCGCCTGATTCCGGGAGGTCGCACTCAACTTCGCGAGGAAAGACTTAAGAGCCTGCTTTTCATCTTTCAGGTCAGATTAGTCACGGCAACGATTCCTCTATTTCCGATAAGTGGTGTACAGAAACGCGTGTATTCTTTGCGGTTCTGGGGCAGTATTCTATTAAAATCTTAGACTTAAGTAAAGCAAATTGCTCAACCTTGGCAATACATTTGAATGGGGCAAGTACCATCTAAGCACCTTGGTAAGAGCAAAATTGCCCTTAAGAAAGTAATAGAATACAGCCCCTGGTCCTCTTGTTAGAGCATGGTCAGTACATTCATTAAGGTGCCACTTAATGTTGATAGGGCGTCTCGAAGCTCTAAATACCTCATGCTTAATTGGGTGAACTCAAAGCGATTTCTGCAAGGATCGTTCGAGAAATGGAGAGCGAAAAGCGTGAACCTGAAAAGGACACCTGCCCCACTTCTACTAATCGTAAATCAATGCAGCAGAGCTAGCTACCTTGTGGCATATCGGATGTTATCTGCATACACGAGTCTAGTCACTTCTGGGTGCGTCCCGTAGGATAGCTGTAACACGTAATTTTCAGTATAGAGAGATCAAATTTTGGTGTAATAAATATAATTTCACTCCTTCGCATTTATGGATAGAAATGATATCGTCATCTTACAAAATTACTCAAAATGAGCTAACTTGGTGCTTTCCATTTGTCACATTACCGTGGATAATTTTCACTCTTTCGTATCGTCAAAGAGCAATCCTTCCATGCGGGAAAGCCAGAACTATAGCGGACGGAAAGTGGAAGCGAACTTGCATTGGTTTCAATTGAGGTACGTCTGCCATCAGCATAAAACGAAAAGCAAGCTAGGTCCAACTGTATCGACGATGCAAGGGGATGAAACCTGCACTCTATGAGAAAACTTGAAATCAATCACGCAATCCGATAGAGCACTTGAGAATACGAGGCCGATGAGCAAACATAAAGCGTTCCGTTCCCCAGGAATTTTCTTCGCCGAGGTGATGCGATGCTCCAGCAACTTTTCAAGAGCAAAAATTCGTTCAAATGGAATCAGGGCATTTGTTGGTAGCCGAGCCTCTGTTTTCTGTTGCAGCAACAAGCCCAACTACCCTGTGGTATAAACAACCACTACAACCACATCAGCTCATCATCAACGCCACAAACAGCAATAACAAAATCATCAGCAACATGTGTCGGTATCAACAGAACCTGCAGTGGTATCCGGATCTACGTGAGAGGAGAATCTGGCAAACAAAAAGGGGGTAAAAACAGGCAAACCTGTGTTTTCAGCCCGTCACGGGAACTCTGGCAAATTCATTTCTGCTTTCGTCACCGCTGCACACAGTACTAATTGACGTAATACTCAGCCGCGATTGACATACGAACGATTGTTGCTTCCTTTGTGAGTCTTCATGTGTGTGTGTGCGAGAGAGAGTATGTGACGGACAAGATGAGGAGGGGAAAAATCAAGCATCTCTAGACCGTTTTAGTTCCTCCATCGTAAATTCTGTAGGGGTAGATCGTTTGGAAAATGCATGAAAAAAAAACAAGGAGAGACGGTCTGCCTGTACCCGCAATTGCATGATGTGGCTTGACTGTGGTGTCCATTTGTGAAATGCCAAGGAACAAACGGTTTTGAATAAAACATTCGCCATATGCAATCACTTACACTTTCTCATCTTCTCATTCAGCGTCTTTCAAGATAACCAACGTCTTCCTCTAGTACGAATTGTCAGGCACCATAATGCCGCATAGTATGAATCAATGTGATCTTTTCGTGAAAATGCTCTCGCATCTCACGTTTACGTTCACGCTTGCATTCCAAACGTTGACCACTTCTTTCTCTATGATCTCAGATTCAACTATGTTTCTTCGGTATAATTTCAGTAATTTTTGATTAATGAAAGTACGCGGTTGAGGATCTACTTGTTGTGGAGACAAAACATGCAGTTCACCCCGCACCAAAAACTACAGAACCAATTTTCAAAAATGACTCGCCCTGAGCATGAGTGATGAAAGTCAAAATTTTTTCATTTTAATCCTACTATCCAGGTACCATGAAAACACGACATAAAATTTTCCGGTGTAGGAGTGGTTGAAATCATTGCACGAAGTGAACCACTTCGACACCGGTAGATTGCTACGAAGAATATGGTATGCACTATGTAGTCATGGCGCCTTCATCTCAGTTGTAGAAAATGCTAACTTAGATCATCATGGTTCTAGCTGGGCCAAATCAGCTCGGTCGAGATCTGGGGGGGTGCCTTTTGGGCCTTTTATTCCTGAACTTCCAAAGTTTAGGTCAGGAGACGTAAATAGGAAATCTCTGAACAGTTTCGGACTCCACGGACCAATATACGACAATACTTCATTAAACCCGCGGAAGAGCCATGTGATGTATACATGGTCGCAACACATTTCTACTGGACCGATTTCAACAAAGGTACGGATAAATTCTCTCGTATTAACGGTGCTCTGGGTGGGGTCGCAGTGTCGACCTGGTACTGGCACAGAGAGAAGTACTGCAGTACAATAATGACCTGATCTTAAAAAATGAAGTCTATGAGAATTCGTCCTAGCATATGGTTGAGTATATCGGGAGTATCTAGGACAGAAGAGAAAATGATGTACTAAAAATTACTCAGAGATAAGTTTGCTTGCAGTCTGAGCAAAATCTACGAGATCGATTTCGGCGAGTCAGCTAGCTACCAATACATATGCTTGCTTTGCTTATTTAATTACCGAGCTACTTCTGAAAGTACTGAAAAGCACGTCCAAGACAAAGGCAATAATGTGCTGCAGATATATCAATACTTACTTTTACTTTTTGTCCTGGAAGTGCTGAAAAGTGCTACTATGACAGGTGCCTAAGTCATGCCTGCTAACGATTTTCTTGGAGTTTGTAGATGAACTTAAGGTAACATGCTTCGCCAAATATTGGTGAGAAGTATTTTTCTACCTTTCTAGTCGCTGCAGGAACTTTTCCAGAACTGGATGCCCTTCGAGAGATTGCGAACAGTTCAAAATTATCCTAAACTTATTTGCTTTTATCACTCAAATTTATTCCAGCGAGACTGTCTATATCGTTTTTCTCTGCAAATTACATTTGGCGAGACATCGGAAGGTCTATTCTAAAATGTTGTCAGGCGTGCTGGCAGTGAAACATTGGAGTTAGCTTTCAGTGCTGTTAATTTTTTTTCACGAATTATGCAAGAATCACGATGATTCTGCTTTGCCTCACATTATTACGGACTCGACGAATTTGTTTTAATGTGGAACTTGTAATAACTCAACTCCACAACGAAATATAGAACGAGTTCCCAAGTTCCGTGTTTTTTCATATTACATGTTTCCCATGATTGTGAAGAAGCCTATGATAATAAGTTTTGCTAAACAAAGTATCATTTAAAGACTTTCAAAAGTCGAAAAAAGTATCTCTGGTATCAGCAAAATCGAAATGTCATTCCTTGGATAAAAATTATTCTGGGCGTTAATACCAGTTGTGATATTCGTTTTCTTCGCCATCACTGCTTCGCACCTTAACGGCGCATCATTCTGCAGTGAATTAATTTATATAACAAGATATGGCAGAAGATAAGTAGCTTTTGCTGACTTCGCTGGCCGGCTTGTGCTCTCACAAACGGACAACTGATTCACGAGGTGTTCACAAATTCACTGGGCTATTTAGGAGCTAAACGTAGATATCTTGAATGTGTCACGTGGACTACATTTAGTACATATCAGTACATATCATATCAGTGTTAATTGCGTCGACCAAAGTTGTGAAGAAAATTTTCGTTGACCATGACGACGACGACGACACGAAAAATGTAGTTAATGACAGAATGACGAAAATTAGCCAAAATGGACTAACGGTATGGTGACGGAAATTGACGAAGGAAGAAATGTCACGCTTGACTGGGTGACGAGAGCTCGAAGAAAATGGCTGACGACTTCAGTCGATGAGGCGAAGAAGGGGGCTAATAATGTTTGGAGACTAAATTTAAATTAGTCATTAAGAAAAGAAGAAAATGATAATTTTTTTTTTTGGAGGGGGGGGGTAATGGAATGACGCCAGGATCGGATGTAATGAACTACGATGGGAAGTCATTTATAAAACACTCTTGTATACGACCGAGACCATAGGAAAAGTCATCGCAGTTTTGGGTGGCATGATGAGGTGCTGGTGATGTTCCATTATCGAGATTGAGTCCCAGAATGATATCTAAACCCTTGAATATAGGCAGGAAGGCGTTCTTGGAAGCTTCTGATCGGTACCCCTCCCGTTCGCAGATCCTTCGTACATTCCCCCTTGACCCTGCCCCCCGTTCATGTAATTCGTTGTTTTGACACAATAGATACTTTTCGGGACCTCCCGGTGAATCCAAATCGGTGTTGACAAATGCACCCAGGACGAGGAAGCTAAGGCCGAGGGTAGATGAATGGTGAAGCAAAAAAGACTTAAGATAGACTCTGTGCGACAAACTTGTCTACGAAAATTTTCGTAGACGACGAATTTTTCCTTTTCTTCGTCGATCGCAATGACGAGACGAAAAATTGTCTTTTAGAGCGAAATGACGTAACCAACTAAAAATGGACGGCAGAATTTCCGTTTAACCGAGTGACAAAAACTCGACGAAACGACAGGTAACTTTGGCCGATGAGATAATGACGATGACCGAATTGAAATTTGTTGAAAAATTTATCACTGGTGCAGAAACATGTTTTCTTTAATCTGTAGCAGTTGAATGCTTAACTACGGCGTCCCCAGTAGAACTGATCCTAGTGATTTAATGAATTGCTATATGGGAAGGCCGATGGCAACTATGCTTGACTTTCGAAATGCATATGAACTGCTGCCACCAAGTGTAAATAACCTAGTTGCCTTAAATATATTGATGTGATGATGAAAGATAATGATATATATCTATATGCCCTGAGGGCATTTACACCTCGTGTCAATAGTCCTTAAATGGGCTAGAATTAGTTTCTGGTTGTCGTCGGTGATTCTCTTTAAGCCATCCATATAACCATTTGAACCCGATCCTCTAGTGTTTACAGGGTTCAGCATTGGCCTGCAATAAGAGAGGGAAAAAAAAACCTGAAATAAAAACTTAATGTAATAAAAGTTACCGATTAAAAATACACAACTGAAAAGAAAGTATCTGCTTGCAAATTTTCACATTCTAGGTATGACCTGTCCCTAGATGCATCGATGACAGTTAAACCTCGCTAGTTTGATCTCACAATGATGCAGATAACTCAACTAACTCAATTGCATAATTTCTAGCAATCTTCATATCATCGACTAAGTGAAGGACAAAAGCTTAAAAACTAGTGGCGCCCCTCTGTAGCCTCCAAAAGGGAATTCACAAGTCTCGGTGTACGCGTACTATCAACCAATGACCGCGGTCAATTAGAGTTTCATTCCAAGTATCGATAACAGCTTCAAGTCGCTCCTCGTAGTTTCTACAGTATTTCTCAGTCACTCTTTCCTCGATAGCATCTCAGACATGCTCGATTGGATTCATATATTCACCCTGCCTCTCTCGGGCTTGGACATGGAAGACAATCTTCTCCAGTTTCGCCCTGGAAAAATCGTGAATTAGAGTGAGATCATGTTGAAAAGTGACTTCGACAACATTGAGAATGAGTCTTGGCATGATGGGAAAATCGCGATCCTCGATTATATTGCCTAGTTTTTACATCGTCCTTGAACCAGACCAAGCTATTGATTCTCTAGTTGCTGATTAATTGGAAACCACTCTTGACTGTGATGAACGCGAATTATGGGCGAGGTGTGTCGACTGGCACAGGCGAAGAGTTGCTTCCAGTTTGGTTTCTGATCAGTGGGGACCAGTTTGGAGACGACTAGTGGATCGAATTCACGAATATTGTTGGTGGAGGACTGTCGATTCAGGAGAAGGGCGTGTTATGAGGAGGGAATGATCGGCACTCAAAGCGTAGGGGATTCGGTAGAAGTCAAGGAGAATGCGAAAACAGCAATATACTTCATCGATCGAGGATCATGTCTTTCCACCATGCAACGACTCTTTCATTATGTTGCTGAAACCACTTTTAACGCTTTCAGTCCCATACCCGTCATGTGACAGGTATAAGCCATAGCGCATTCAAATCCCCGGGACTGAAAATGTTAAGCATGATTTCACTCAAACACAATTCCAGGTGGTCCAGGGCCAAATAGGATTAAGTTGGCATCGATGTCCAACTCTGGGTGGGGCAGGGTGAATATATGAATCCAATCGAGCGTGTCTGAGATGGTACTGATAAAGAGTGAGCAAGAAACAGTAGGAACAAAGAGGGATTTGAAGATATCAGCGATATTCGGAATGAAGCTCCAGTTGATTGTGGTGATTAGTTGATAGTATATCTAGACTTGTGAATTCCCTTTTAGAGGCTAATAGGGACCTTACCGTTACTAGACTGCATCGTTGGTCATACTGCTATTATTATGAAAATATTGCAGTATTCTTAAGAAACTGGGTTGTCTGCATGATTTTACTACCAAACTAGCCAGGTTTAAATGACATGGATACATCTAGGGACGAATTACTAGCGAGCATGTTAAATTCTGCTGACAGATACTCTGACATGGTCGCACTGCAGATGTGTGAGACAAACACCCATGCGGACATTCTTCTCGTCTTCGGTCGGGTACTCCGGTATCCTTTTGGCGTAGATCAAATGGCATTGAGGGCGATATTAGACGATCGTCTGCACAGACCCATGGCGAATCCCAGCTTCTGTGGCTATGGCATCCAGAAACACGGGTCTGTTTGCTCTAATGACCTCGTCCACCTCCGCCCGGTTGCCCGTGATGACGACATCGGCTCATCTGGGTCCCGGTTTGTCCTCAACGTAGAGAAGTCGCCATGAAACATTTTCTACCATTCATACAGTGTATTCATCTCAAGGACAAACACGTCTCATCCTTAACGACATCATTCTGTAATGGATATCGAGTGGTTTGCATCTTCTGCACACAAAAATTGAATGACACAAAAACTGAATCACAGCTCTATGTTTTTGGAACGCCCCTCCAATGGTGATATAGCCACCTCTACCTGGTTACAGCGCATGTAATCTTCCGCAATTAGTGATGCCAATTTAATTTTAAACACTGTTCCATCGTGCCTAAGATTTTTACACAATGTCATGAAGATGCGTTATTTTGGTGTTTTAGTTGACTGGCCCTATTACACCTGAGTCAGACATTTTTTCACTTGACTTCAACACTCACGCATGAGGAACGTCTCATGCACAAGTGTCCAATCAAGTGTCCAATCAAAGTTGTCTGACTCAAGTGAAAAACACTGTACTTATTTCCGGGCTAGAAGAAATTGCGAACCTCCCCTTTATGAGACATCGCCGATCGTGGACCAGACTGGCAACAGAAAATTAACTATGTCCCCCTGCAGAGGGGTCTATAGCATTGCTCCCAGTCAAGACTACCTATATTAAATTGAGAGCCACCGACTGAGAGCTCTCATATTGAATTTTTACTGCATCCACGGACCATTCTGATCTCATTTTTTAAATTTATTACTCCCTCTATCCGAATATTTTTCTTGGTTCGGGATGGGGCAGTCTTCCCCCCCCCGCCCTTCCCTCTTCGGCGAGAAGCGAATAACTCATGTGCTAATAACTTGCTAACCTGTCGGAACCTGTGCCGATTCAGTTACAGAGCTTTGGCAAGCAGAGTATGACAAAAAAGACCTACGACTTTAAGCAGTTTTCTCTTCTCCCATTTGAGCTTTTTCACGAAACTTTTGCCGTGCAGAGACGGATATGCATACAAATTATCTTCAAAATGTCTTCTAAATGTATTGTTTTAAGGCGGGGTCATAAAAAGTTATTAAAAAGAAGTTGAAAAATGAAAATGGACAAGAACTCAGGCTGCTGGTGAAGTGGAGAACATGCCTGAATGTTTTGCTTCCGTATGACCCTTGCCACACCATGCCTTCCTTATCACCCAACTTCTCATTCGTTGAAATTCATGCTTTAGGTTGGCTTTTTCTTGCAGATTGATTTGAATAAAGCCTATCAAAGCTATGAGAAGTGAATCCATGAGAACACAACAGTGTTCAAAGCTTATTCAGATTTTACCAAGGTAAAGATCCTACCCAAACCTCTCCCTTGGTCTCCATCAGGGAACGAGGCATTCAGAAGGGATCAAGTCCACTGTCCATTTTCTATTTTCGACTTTTTTTTTTGAATGAGCGCTCACTGCCTCTTTTTGGATATATCAATTTTAATGAGCCTCTTAGAAGCATATCAATCTATACACAGTCCAAGTTTCGTAAGGAAAACTCCAGTGAGAGTAGAGATTTACAGGTTTAAAGTCGTTAGTCTTTTTTCGCCATACCATTTATTGCTTTGAAAAGTTCTATTCTCCTTTGAGTCTGCATACAATCCATGAGGATTCTTACAGGGTGATGATGGTTAGTTGGAAGGATTCGTCCCGCTCGCTGCTCCTCGCTCTCGCCCCTCCGCTCAGCCTTTTTTGGAATGGTGTGTTGAGTTGACAGTGTTGTTCCCACTGTTGACAGTGGGAAAAAATTTGGGGAAAAATCATGAAGGTGGTCTGCTGAAAGCAGTTACCGAAAAGCGAGATTTTCCTATTTTTTGCCCTTGCTTGCTTGTGGGCAAATCCTCTTTTTTTATGAGAAAGAAGACTTCATTTTTTTCGTGGGCAGACAAGCATTACTAGTGATGATGGAAAAGGCATTTTCATACATTTCACGAATGGCTGCCCTTCGTCCCTTTCGAACTTTCGCTCACCTATAAAATCTGGCCGAGGAAATGTTTAAACACGGAACTGAGTGATTGCTATTTTCTCCAAGTAAAGTAGTCTAACGAATCCATAGCAACTTTTAATGAACTGAAATTTGATTTGAAATTTAATGGCTGAAAGAGCCCTCGGGAAGGTTTCGTCACATCTCATTTGGACTTGCCAACAGTGGCGTAGCCAGGATTTCGCCAACTAGTGGAACGGTGGGGGGGCTTACTTCTCCTCTCCCGGGAGGGGGGGGGGGCTTGAACTAAACTTAGGGGCGGATGAAGCTCGCTACGCCACTGCCAACAAAGGCAAAAGAGGGATGATAGTGAAGAGGAAGTTAGCCCTCGTTTCGTTGTTTTAACCATCGCAGAAGCGTCTCTGCAGAGCTACACGTTTCATACCATTAACGAAGGCCTTTTCAAGTCCATTGAAGCAAATGCGAAGTCCACCCTACAGAGAAGTACTAAATGTTATCTCGGGAACTGAGGGTTTTTAGAGCCCAGGATCAAGCCGCTAAGAACTGTTTGCAATGAAGATGAAGTCGAAAGTCACATTTTGCCGAAAATATGCCATTCTGCTCACTGGAAACGACATGTGAAGGGTTGTACTGATAGATAATCTCAATTGCGTATTCTGGGAAAGTATCGTCGTCGATTGATTCAGGTACGACTAAATGTGTTCGAATTGGGGGTCATGGCATCGTGGTAGAAACAGACGAATCCAGATTTTTGTCGCCGCATGGAAAGACGAAATTCGTCCTACTTAAGGAACTGTTGGTTGCAGTGAGAGAGAGCAAGAGTGCGGCTCTTCAGAGAGATACTACTCTCTGGCTGCTTTCAAAGTTGTCCTCAAGCAGTAAATTCAAGATTCTACCAGAATCAGTCGACGACGAAACTCTTCCAGAATAAGAAATTGAGATTGCCTTTCGGCACTACCCTACTTTTCTCTGCAGAGGATGAAAACATGTACGCTTGTCATCCTGATCTGTAATGTAGGAAATCTCTAGGATTTCCTACATTCTCACTTCCTTGATTGCGCGTGGAGAAAGTGCTTTTTCAAATTTATTTTCTGACTGGCTAGGTTCTTGCATCGGAACATGGGATCCATTTACATAACGTGCAATTCACGGAACTAACTGCAATCAATTGATAATGTTGTAAAAATGCCATCAACTCCAAGGCAGAAACGTAGTATTTACTATAGATACTAGATAAGTACTTAGCCGATATTTTTTGGAACATTCACAGAATACCAACGCCGTGATATACTAATGTTTGGCCTTTGAAAATTCTCTTAGATGCTATCTGATCTGTTCCTATTAATCGAGAGATGAGAACCCCCCTACATTATGACAGAAAAAGTTCTTAAGGCGCTTGTCTTAAGAAATCTGAAATGAAAGGAAGTTTTCCTAGACGTGAACTCACTCTGCCGCTCGCTAAATATGTAAGGCGCATTACTGAAGTTAGTTGCTGAGCAATGAAGCGACCTGAATCCAATCGAGTCATCATTGCATGTACTCATCTCCAAATGTACCAGTGCTGTAACCTTACCAGATATAGTTCTTTTCTCAATTGCAAAAATTATTCCCAACGATGACAATATTAAATAGATTGTGAATTTGAAAGTGCAACTCCTATTCAAAACCAAATAAGCGATTATTTTTCTCGGGAATATTCAATTTACACTCTTTTCTTTATGAAAAAGCTTATGCCATCATCGTATCGTGACAATTGAGGAAAGTACGTAAGATTAAGGAAAAATTATAAATCAACTTAGTAATCTTTGCAGACGAAACTCATCCTTATTGAATTTTCGGTTTCTTAGATCTACATGGATATAATCCTTTTCACAGATGAAAGCCCAGTCAAACATTTTCGTTGGTTTATCGTCGGCCCATAGCTGGGGAAGTTGGCTCATTTACGGCGAATGATTGGCCAGTCAATCATTCGCCGAAGATGAGCCAATGTGGCTGAGAAGGTTCCGAAAACCGGCGTGAGATGGAGCCAAAGTGGTTCTGATAGGGAGTCACTTCCCGAATTTGAGTGAAATGAGTCCCCTGTCCCTTTGACACAGTTCCCTATGGTTTCTCTCATAGATCTCAGAGGAAGACAATTGAATACTTTAAAACATTTCTCTAAAGATCTAACCTAGCCCTGGAATAAACCAGAAAATTCCGACCCGAAGGTCCGTGGGAGGATCCTACTGATAAGCTACGCGACCTTTATTTATCTCACCCAAATGAAGGGGGTAGGGGGCAAATGGATGTATAATACTATTGATACAAAACATGGGTTTCTTTCCTACGTCTTTTCACCATTGTGAGTCGGCTTATGGTTGAGGCATGTGTGGTTTCCCAACAATGAGCCAAAGTTGGCCCGATGAAGGGCCAACAGGACATGCCCGGCAGGCATTTGCCGGCTTAGACCAACCGTAAGCCAACCATACACCAGTGATGGCCCAACTAAGGCTTACATACGCGTCGACAAAAAGCCATCGATGGCCCGATGGGAAATTTATGACTGGGTGGTGCCGGTGAGGGTTCAGAGGCGGGTTACAGAAATTATTTTTTAAAAGGTATGAATACTTTCGAAAGAGAGGCGTTTAGAAACGTTGGGATTCTCTTCAGTCGAGAGAACGTGAATGAAGGGTGTGGGCAGGGGGGGGGGGGGCTTTTCCTGGTTTTTACAATCATTCAGGGAATCGCTAACGTGGAGCTTGGTAGCTTTTACCAGCTCGATGGTAGCATCAGAACGAGAGGAAACCAATTTGAGTTGCTTAAACCCCAAACGAGACTGAGGTTCCGAAATGAATTCTTTCCTTGGTAGGGTGTTAAATGCGTGGAATGGGTCGGATGATGTATTGTAGTTCCTTGCCCCGGGCAGAGACTAGCTTTAAAAATAACTTCCCTTCCTATGCCTTCACGAGCGAAAAACAAAAAGGGGAATCATGTAGCTGTAAGTGAAAGCAATAAATGGATATGATCCCGCAAAAAACATACATATTTAAGAGGCCTATCTTATTTCATATAAGAGCTGGACCTCGACTCGGGCCGTGATAACGAGTAAAAATGCCTCTCGGCGTCTCTCCCCGAGCCTTGAACCTTGAAAGAAGAAGATAGCATTATATAATCGAAACACGCCGCTCGTTTTCCCAGTGAAACCCAGGACTTTCTTATTCCAATTAATCCGTCTGAAATTACCTCTGGTTGAAGGACTTGAGAGATTTCATGCTGACCTCGTTTTCCATCGTCCTGAAATGATCATGTCGTGATGATCGTTTAAAGGATTTTACGGATGATGGCTGGTTTCCATTACCCCCTTCTCTTCCTCTCCCACTGTGCTAACCAAACTCTTCCATTCCCAGGATATATCTCCATGAAAATAAATTAAAATAAAAGGGTTCCCTAGTAAAACTTAATGAAGGGTTTATAACTTTTAAAGGGACCTTTTGCTCAACGAAGGAGGTGTTGATGGAGGGCATGATTTCCATATCCATGCACTTTTCTTTCCTCTTGCAAGCAGGAAAGTAAGAATATCTTTCTTCAAAACAGGAAAGTTTTGACTTTCTTGGTTTCACTCTTTCGATCCACTGAATGATACAGAGAAGGAAACGTGTTTTCTTCCTTCTTTGTGCCCGAAGAAAAAATTGTCTGGCTTCGAGAGCTATAGAAAAATGGATGAATAGGAAAAAAATGCATTCATTCTTTGGTGTGAGTGATAGAATCGTTTTCTGTTCTCAACATTACGAAGGCTGTACTGGCTGTACTTAGATGGCTGTACTGGCCAGAGAAATAAACATACGATTAAACTTGAATGATGATTGTTGGTACGCTTGCAGGACGCGAAACTTACTACCCCGTGTGATCGTCGTTAGATTGTGTCTTCATATTGAATACTCTCGTCTCCCGGGAACTCAGCCAAGTAGGAGATAGACTTCACGTGGTCTTCGTAGATTTTAAAAAGCTTTTCATCAGATGAGAATTACTATGGATGAAGATGAGAGAGATTGGGATATCTCACAAATGTATCATGTAGGCCTAAAAATTTGCATGCGTAGTCTTCAGGCTACGTATGCGAATGTAAGTACATCGGTGCGAATTGAGCAAAGGACAACAAGCGAAGGATTTGTAAGATCAGGGTGGGGCAAGAATGTGAACTCCCCCCTCTCCTTTTTATTCTCTTCCTAGTTCATTTACCTGAATATCTTGAAGACGAACTCTCACTTGGCACTTGGATCGGATCAATGTAGATTCATCGTGTGATCTCCCAAGCTTCATGAGGACTGCAGAGCTCCTTAAGGAAGTTGTAACCATATTTTGAGGAACGAGAATTGCAGGCAAATGAGAAAAATACGAAGATTATAAAGGGAAGCCGGAAGAGCGAACTAGAAAAGTGGTTTTACGGAAAGGAGAAGTTGGAAGAGGTAGACAGGATTTTCCCATATTCAGGAATAACGCAATAAAAAATATGCATGCATACTATCCCGCAGGAACGACTATCGTTGAAAATATCTTGAAAGTCTATTTCACGACCATAGGACCCACTATTGTCGCGCGAAGAAGACTACCGTAAGCTCCAAATTCTTGCAACGGTCTATTGGCTCATATCACGGTCTTTTTCCATTCGTGCCTCTAGGGCGTGGGTGAAAGTGGGGGATTACCACTTCACTGAAACATGGAAATGACCTGTCGAAGATACTTATTGTGCGATAGCCCGAACATGACCCGGGCTGCAGGAGAATGCATTTCTTGCTGCTGAGGCCCACATCTCGACTGTCCAGAATACGCAGAATCGACGAATGAAATGCGTTATAGAGCAATGTCAGAATTCATTGTCGGTCCGATGACTCTGTCGATGGCCCTCCGCCACTAGCTCTGTCGAAGATCCTCAAACCGCGCAGACAGAAAGGGTAGGTGAACGTGAAGATCCACGCGACTGCTCCACCGTTATGGAACGGGCTCCATCCAATGGAATGCACGAAATGAAGACTGTCGCTGGAGTGATTCTCAAGCAGAAAGACCACGGCATTCATTTCAAATAACATCAAAATGCGGGGAAGAATTGAGGAATGCGGAGGAGAAAGAGCGGGACGTTATTAGTTTGGTTGAGTTAAGTTAAGGAGGCCCCAATGCTGACCAATGTAGGTCAACCTCCCAGATTGAAAGTGGCTAGAAGCAAAGAGTGAAGGCATCGGCCTCCACCGTACAATTCTTGAAAACCTGCAAGAACCTATAGAAGGTTCAACAACCTATCCTTCCATGACAACCTATGGTTGTCATGGAAGAAAATTACGCAAAGATTTCACATTTGTTTGAACAGTAGTCATTTCGGCATGGACGTAGTACTACATGCGTTCGCTATATGTAACTACCATCGTATGATAGACGAACGCGAAACCCACTATGATAGTAAAGCCAGCGGAAGCAATGATTCCGGTAGTCACAATCGCGTATGCAAAAAACACAACGTTAGTTGGGTTTGACAGGAGCCTCATTCGAGTACTACACCGGCAAGGACATTGCAAAGAACAGGAAGGGCTACCAAAGCTTTGAAGTCAGAATGGCCTCACTGTGACTCCTGAGACAGCTGATGCATCGTGGCATCCATGTCCATCACCGCAGCCATGTCCATAGGGCTTTGCGCCGTGATGACTCCTCTAACACCAATCACTTTTTCTGTTCTCGCGCAATCTCCAAGCTAAATAGCTGCATGCGTTTCCTGGTCGTGTCGGTCCTTGCCTTAAGTAGTGCGTCGTTCGCTCGTGTTTACGCTTTCTTACTCCTGCATTTAGTCCATATTTGGAGCAGTGTTCCACTAATGCCTCTCGCTTCACCAGGATTAGAATGGCGACTGAGATCCGAGGGCTTATAATCGTCTCTCGTACTATCCAGGTCATGCGTTCGACCGGTGGTGGTCGCACCAACCAAGTGCTCCACCTATCTAACTTCTATCCTAACTTCTCGTGGTCCCTTAATGCTACTCTGCAGTTTCATCACCATGCTTTATTTTTCTGACTGGTACAGTCGTCTATTGTGCCCATAGTTAAAAAAAAAAGATCATACGTTTCTTGACGTAGGGGAAAAGAGAGGGGGTGGGAAAGAGATATTTATTTGGTCTTTCAAAATGCTTGTTTTGCGTGTGCGATCAATTAGACAATAAAAATACAATCTTGGCCAGAGGATCACAAGTTTTCTAGTCTAGGTTGAACATCGAAAAAAAGATGCAAAGAGGTGATTGACGATATTTCCTCTTTTAGGTTGAGGCCTAGAGCACCGATGCAGTCGAAGGTCATTCCTGCGCCGGAGGGAGAAGGCTGTCCTCGATGTGGGGGCATGGTCTACGCGGCGGAACAGATGCTTTCACGCGGCAGGGTACGTCCGACGAACTCACTGATATCTTCCAGTTGGCATCGGCGAGTGCCAAGAAATAGTTGGAGTCCCCGTTTCGGCCGTAAGACATCTCGAAAATCTCGTCATCCGCGTCACCTATGCGCGAATGTTATCGTAGGAGACGGAAGGAAATGGAATTCACGCAATCCATTTGAGGTCGTTTCTTCGGGGAAGAGAGAGAAGGCGACCACGCTCGTATCGTTCATTTTGTCAATGTATTCACGACCGCAAGCATATCCCCTGACAATTTTCCGCATTCTTGGCACCTCGTACGACGGACGCATGAAACCGTGAAACGCAATCGTAAAATGCGAATGGTGTTTTTGCAGGGTTGGCATAAGTCCTGCTTCAAGTGCTTTCAGTGCAACAAGCAACTCGACTCCGTGAACCACTGTGATGGTCCCGACCGAGAAATCTACTGCAAACGTAAGTTTCTCTCAAGGTTCTCTGGATCGAGATGAAGTTTGGAAGAAATTATCATCGGTTTTCTATGTTTGAGTTTTTTTAAATTTTCATTCCAGTCGACTACGCGAAAAAGTTTGGTCCCAAGGGGTATGGGTACGGAGGAGGTGCAGGTGCCCTGCAATGCGACCTCATCAATGGGTAATTTTCATTTCTCTATTTTATTCTAGTGTTTACCTCATCTTGAAGGAGTCCATCGGGTGCACTTAGATGTCAAGAGCATTGCCTTCCACGAACCCGTCTTTCCATAGGTTTCACTGATAAACTCCTTCGTGAAATTCTTCTTGTATGGGGGAGTTCGAGCTCCCATGGATTTGTCCGAGTGGAGGTATGGGAACTTAACGTAAGTTCTTTCACTGCAGGGACAACTTGACCGAATTCGTGAAACCGTCGAAGAACCTGGAGGAATCGATCAAGGCACCAGAAGGACAAGGATGTCCACGGTGCGGAGGCATGGTGTACGCAGCAGAACAGATGCTTGCCAAGGGAACGGTAAGGGTCCACTGTCGTCCGAGGGTCGTCCGAGGGTCGTCCGAGGTCCTTCAAGGAGCTCCGATGACTCGTCCGAGGCCGCTCATTGTTTCTTCTCTCTTTGCAGACATGGCATAGAAAGTGCTTCAACTGCGGCGTTTGCCATCGGCCGCTGGACTCGGTAAACGCGTGCGACGGCCACGATCGAGATATTTACTGCAAGACCTGCTACGGCAAGAAATACGGGCCTAAGGGATATGGATTCGGCGGAGGGGCTGGTTTCCTTCAAACAGATGTCATCACGTCAGTACTTTCCCGGAATCTTACTTGGAGTGACAAACAGAAGTTTCGAGACTGAGTTTTTTATGACCGTCAATATCACGAGAATATTGTCATGCTATGGACTGATAGATTAGACTGTTGGGAAGTGTTGTGTCAGTGCTCATCTTATTATCACCGTGAATGAGAGTTCGGCTGGTAATGTAGCAACCCAGTGTGTAAAGCGTATGTTGCATTCCCAGAATGAGGCAATGCTTAATCGAGTTTTGTCTCAAACTGGGGAATACAGCTGCAGCCATCCAAAAAATGTTGCAAGAAGCGTATTGACAAGTTGCCTTGTCGTGTTGTCTTGTTGCCTTGTATCCAAGAATTTTGAATAGTTTTCAAGGCTTTCAGCTAGTAGAAAAGACATTGAAGATGATGCCTGGTGCTGCCATCCCTTGGGTGAATGGTTGGTTAGGGGACTGAACGTCTTAAAGTTTTTGGATTGACAACGCTGCCCAACAGCCTAATCCATCAGTCATGCATGCATCAGCCAGCATCATAATAATTTTTGTGATATTGACAGATTCGTATTAAAAAAATTAAGTCTCGGAACTTCTTCATCGCTCTTCGTATGCTTACGTGAACGATTGACATTATTTTTAAAATGATACTTTTTTAAAAAGAAACTCCATGCGTATGGCTTTAGGCAAAATTAAACTCGTCTCCTTCATCTTCAATGTTTCGATTCTCTGCCTGCGATCGGACAACAGAATAAGGAATTCGGATTTCCTATTGCACGGCTCGATCATGGTCCGAAGGAATCTATAAGAGGGAGGGGAGGGAATTTCATTTTGGCCAGGATCGGATCGATGGAGTTCCGTTAGAATAAAAAACGACTTCGGAATCCGAAGAAGGCGAGTCGGAAGTAGCTTTAAGACGGCATCAGCATTCACCGTGGTTTCGGGTAGACGGAACTTCATTGCAGGAAATTCATACGTAACGTATCGATTTCTTAGCAATTAAGGAATTTGAGATGAAAATATAGAGAATGACTAGCAGCACCCCGAAGTCTTTCAACTTCATGAAAGGAGAGAAAGGTGGATGGATGGAGGGATGGAGGAAAATGTCGACATCAATATTGGATTTCGTGCTCAGGTTCCAAGAAAAAAATTCAATGCATCTCACAAGCACAGGTGATGAGATGAAAGAGATTTTATTTCCCATCCCCATCCATCTCCTTTTATTTGATTTTTTGTGGAATGGGATCCTTTGAGACTTCTCCTCGACTGGCCAAATCTCATTGTTCTTTTCCTTAATTCTATTAACGTCGACCTCCTTCTCCCTGCCGTACATAACAATCTCCACCAAGGAAAAAGAAAAGAAAAAAATTGGACATTCCTGGGAGAATCTATTTAACACAGTGCATACTGTATATTCTCTTCAGGGAATCACGTTATTCGCATTTTCGAGGGAAAGCTATTATTCTTTCAAAATTTTCCGATCAGCATATTTATCACAGTCCGTATCTTTACGGAGAAAATGAGTCTGCCGTGCACCACATCGGATTGGGTTTATTTTAATTTGATTACACGATGGGATTCCTGCGATCGAATCGAATCGAGCAAAATACATCTGGTGACTGGGTTCGAGGGGTCGGGATTCGACTTCCGAGTGGAACCCCGGTAGGAGTATTAGAACCCAAATAGCTGGGGACACTTCCTCTACCGACAGGCAATCCACCTGCGCCCGGGGGAGTACGAGGTATCCCTTGGCACAGGCCATTCTGTGCGGCACGTCTAGAAGATACGGGTGCAGGTCGTTCTGCAACCACTCGTTCCAGTTTTGGGCATAGGCAAGCCGTGAACTGCCTCAATGGCTTCTTATTGGACAATGTTTGGGCATCCCCGCCGGAGGGAATGTCGTATCGATGGCGTTGCTTGAGCCAAGTAGATGCCCGCATTTCCTCCGTGCACAGTAATGTTGTCGTGTATCCGTCGCAAATTCTGTCCCGAAAGAAAAGAGTATCATATGCGGGTGTTGAACGAAGTATCTTTCCAAGTCATCTCCATGCGATGTCTTCGAGGGGTGATCACAAAGTTCCTGGACAGGTTTTGTAACTCCTTTTTTATTTGATGTACGGTGATGATGATGCAAGATTTCGAACGTATCTCGTGTTGGATCTTTGGGGTGCATGATAAATATTTATTACTTGTTAGTTTTCTTTGAATGTTTTAAAACGAAATCTTCAACCTACAGGTGAAAATGAACCAGGAATTTCTTTAATTTCCTTGAAAGGAGATCCATCAAGTTTTGCGTGGAAGTGGGCAAATGTGTCGCATTCCAGGAATCTTGAAGGTGTTCTAGTGTCGTAAACGATTCGCAGAAAACAAGACCTTTAACAGGGATAACCCAAAGGTAGGGTGATTATCAACTTCAGCTTGGCAGTGGAACCTGACGGGAAGTGCCTGAAAGCCACAATAAGAAAAGTCCAAGTTCTTATAAGTCATGAATTGCTACTTTCTAACCTTTCTGAAAGACTTCTTGCAATTTTGCTTCTCTCCTCAACCCGTATTGATGGTCGACCTAAGCTTTAGTCGTCCCTCCCTTACAAAACGTCCACCTGCATCCACCTGGCTGAACAACCGGGTGAATAGGGGGTGGATTTGGAACCAGGTGGAAATCCACCTAGCCATTCGCGTATATGTATGTCAAACCAGGTGGATTTTCCCTCCCGAGGTGGATTTTTAACCAGATGGACATCTCTCCAACAGGTGGAAATACGTCTAGGGGGACATCCACCTGGTTCCAAATCCACATGAGAGGTGGGCGCTTTGTAAAGGCTGATTACTCGTGTTTTTTTTATAAAAAAAAAACTTTTTAAATTAAAATTTTTAAATTTATTAAAACCAATTCGGGCATGTTGAAATGGTGAACTGATAGTGCAGTCTGGAGCATCTGCCCGGAAAGCAGCAGCACCCAAGTGTCTTTGGCGTGCAGTATATTCAAAATTTCACAAATATGTCATAGTGCTGTATAATTCCACTTCAGTTTCATGAAGCTCGTCATCCATTTTCACCAAGTTGGTCGAAGAGTTCATTTAAAATCTTTTTTAAATCTTTAAAGTTAAATTTAAAACCAATAATTTTGAAATATAACTCATGTACTGCCAAGATCTAACATAAGATTCTTAAAAGACATGACATTTTTACATCAAAGAATATAGGAGTTACAGAACTAGTCCTGTAACTTTTTTAAATTTCTTCTTGTGTGCTACCCGATATGGAATAGGATACTTTACTTTCACCTTTCGCTTCAAAAGTGCGCAAAAACAATGACCAACACATCAGGAAACGGTATAAACAATCACCACGACATGCCAGCATGAATACTATTAATAATAAAGAAAGTTAATGGGATGGCTGTTAAGAGTCTGTGTCTCGTCTTGGGCTACCCTCACGGTTCTCTTGTATTCATCATGTCATATATGCTATGTATGTATTGGATGAAAATTTACGCTTGGAATCGGTTGTTCTTCGCCGATTGCATGCTGCAGGGATGGAGAGGAAGTGGACATGGTGAGCGGTCAGCCGAGGTGGATCCCACCAGAGGCCATGGACACGGGTGCCATCAAGAGTACCCATGGTGAAGGGTGTCCCAGGTGCGGCGGGGCGGTGTTCGCTGCCGAGCAGATGCTTGCCAAGGGCTCGGTATGATTCCCACTTCCTCTTGTTTCATCGTTTACATTACTATTATCCTATTTATTTAAATAAAAAAAACTCTAACGTGAAATTATTACATATACTCTGTAGAACAGACTGACCTCATGCCCAATAAGGACTCAGAGGTGCATGTTACTGCTACAAGTGAGATTTTTAACGCTCTCCTTTCTCAGTTTATCTGGAAGAGGTCGAATTTTACATTTTCTGATCAATCAAGACATCAGTCAAGTTGATAGACATTTTATTTTTATTTTCCATCTGCGGAAATATGTTATGCTCCTATTTCCAAGGTTTGCTGAAACATAGGCTTTCTGTGTGTATTCAATTATTGCTTTCAATTTCTTTATAATTTGTTCAATTTTTAATTTTCTTGCAGTTTGATGATTCACTCATTTGCAACATGCAATATCAAATTTAGTATAGGAAAATTTCGCCATTCAGTTATTGATACTAAGAGACTTTGGAAAATTAGTTTCACTCTTCAGTTTTAATCTCGTAAACTACAGGCCTAGTGAGTCAAGAAAGATTCCAAAAGAACCGTTCCTTGATGTGCATTAAAAATTTTAGGTTCTTAATTTTATTCTGAAAAGCAACCATTGTTCAGCATTAGGTATTATTTAAGAATAATCTCCGTATTAACCACTGCCTTAATTGAGTCTTTAGATCCACTTTTGGAAAGCAGGAGTAAATTTTCACTCAATAACGGATGGCTGTACAATGTACTCAAGACGAATCCTAAGGAAAAAGTTCCATTACCAAAGAGGTCTGGTGAAAAGAGTCTAATAATAATATACTGGCGTCCAAAAGAAACGTTACAAGGTAATTTAGAGCTCGCCCGCGTTGTAGGAGTTGTGATGACATTATATCTGTCTTTTGCTGAACAAGCCAGCACCGCTTGAACATTATTAGCATTTACTCGCCAAACTTTGAGCGCTGTGCACGTGCCACATCAGGAAAATGCCTAATTAAGTATTCTCCATGCCATATGTAAAGTTCGAATTTTCATGGACAAAAAATGTACTGATTTCATTGTGCATGTCATCCCGTCTCCGAAAAAAATCGGTGATATGCCAAGGCTAACGCAGCAACAAAGGAACGGGACGATGAAAATGCTCCAGGAGGGTGTAGCGCAACAGGAAGTGGCACGGCGACTTGGATGAGCTCGTGTGGCCTAAACCGGATTGAATCAACGCTTCATCAAAACTGACAGAACACTTAACTTTGAGAATCGCTACATTCTCACGGTCAGGTGTTCTGCTAGCTCGTTCCAAGAAGGTCCAAGATGGCACTTACAAAACGTCCTCCTCCCATTAGGATTTGGAACTAGGTGGATGTCCCCCTAGGCGTATTTCCACCTGTTGGAACCATGTCTACTCGGTGGAAAATCCACCTGGCTCGACATACATTTACGCGAATGGCTTGGTGGATTTCCTCCGGGGGGGGGGGGGGGGGGTGTTCACCTGGTTCCAAATCCACCCCCTATCCATCTGGTTCAGCCAGGTGGACGTTTTGTAAGTGGTTGTAACGTATGCTGCGTTACACCCTCTTGGAGCATTTCCGTCGCCCCATCTCTTTGTTGCTGCATTAGCCTTGGCATATCTCTGACTTTTTCGGAGACGGTATGACATGCACGGTGGAATCAGCCCATTTTTTCCCCCATGGAAATGTGAACTTTACATATGGCATGGAGAAAACCTAATTAGGCATTTTCCTGACGTGGCACATGCACAGCGCTCAAAGGTTAGCGAGTACGCGCTAATAATGAATTGTTCAGCAAAGGGCAGATATACTATTGAATACTATCACAACTCCTACTACCACCTCCGTACCATTTTCTAGGCTTATGAGTAAAACATTTAAATAGTGACAGGTGCTTGAAGCGTTACTATCACTTTAGAAGGCTTTACAGCGCACAAAGCGCTAGAATAATATGTCAGATCGATAGAAATCCGACTATCCAAAGAAGAGGAAAATGTGCAGCTCTGATTTCGTGGCGTCGTTTCACGATGAGGGCCTTACTGAGCTGACGGAAAATGACGCGATGTTTTGCTCCCCAGATGTGGCACAGAAAGTGTTTCAACTGCGCAATTTGTCACCGACCGCTGGATTCGATCATAGCGTGCGATGGGCCCGACAAAGAAATTTATTGCAGGGCCTGCTACGGCAAGAAGTTTGGGCCTAAAGGCTTTGGATATGGTCACGCTCCCACGCTTGTTTCCACCAGCCTCGAAGATACCGGAGCTCCGTGAGTCTTTCCATCACAGCTTCTCTTTTTATTCCAATTTCCAGAGTGAAAGGGCTTTGTGAGTGATCTTGGGGACCCTAATTGTCAAAAAAAATCCTCATTTTCAACGGCCTGGAAAATTAATGTAAAAAGGTTACTCGTACGAGGTAGTTTATCCGCTAAATTCTGGCAGGTTGGGTCCACGTGGACTCAGTAATCCCGTTGGGATCCAGTAAATTAGCACCAGAAGAAACGAGAAATCCGGTACAATTTCCATGCCATACATTTAAATGGAATCTAACGATGGAGGACACGTACGACATGTGCTAGTACTCTCTCGTTGACAAAGATAGACATGAGTCTTATGGAAGGCTTCATAAAGTGTTCTCTCCTCCAGCTGTGCGAGTCTTCTACACTCTTCCCATCTTACGCTTTCAGTCTATTCCTTGCTGAGACTTCGTCTCATCCCGATTCTGTTCATCTGAAGGGTTTCTGTGCGCACGTCCGTCGATATCTTAATGCTGATGTAGGTATGCTTCATTTTGGAAAGGACGGAAAATGGGCTTCTTCTCGGTTACGAAGACTCAAGTTGAGAATAAACGTAGAAGGAAAAAAGAGACTTTGATATGGTGAATTTACTCTTTGGGATCGTGAAGCTGCCCTCCTCCCGGACAAGATTTAACTAACTGCTTGTATATCCTGACTAGTCGCAGGGTTGTAAGTTTGGACTTTGTGAAGGTGCCAGAGTGGGCATATCTTTTCCATTACACTTAATGCTGATGGTTCTTCGAGCCTGAAGTCTGATTTAGGGATGCATCCTAACCGTGCACCTTCATTGTGACATCCCTATCACGCTGCCTCGTGCATATTCCAACAAGCTCCTAGCTCCAAGAATCTTTCTCATGGCCCCCATGTGATGAGTTAGAGATGGGATGAGAAACTACACTAAGACCTGTCACGCCTGCCTAGTCCTTGGTCATAATACTTCTAAGAGGGCTACTTTAAATGCAAATAAGGAGGAGAAAACGGAGCAGATGAAGCCGGGAGGATCTACTGTAGAAACCAGCACATGCGTGTCACGTCCTTTAACCCTTTCAGACCTGGCGTCCATTCCAATGGACATTGCATTTACATTGTGTCTTTGGCAATTTCAAAGGATTCTCGTGACTTTGCGCTCCATATTACGCTACAATGGGCCCAGTTATGCATGGCTCAGTTCTGTCAGCGGCCTTCTTTCACCCATTAGTTTTGTAATCTTCAGTTATTTAAGTAAATGTTTAATATATAATATATGATATATTATGAATTTTTACAAAATATGAAAACTACATGTAAAGCATGAAAATTTCAAGTACAGTCATGAAAAAGCTCAAAAATGCCAAAAAAAATAGTATTCCGATAGCGGCCTTAATTCAGGTCTGAAAGGGTTAAATTAGACTAATGCCTGTGCATTCGTCGCATTCATCTCTTCCTGCCAGCGTCCGAGCTCGACGAGCGTCCTCCTCGGTCTTCAAGTTCCCATTTCCATCTTAAAAATTCTGACTTTGATCGTGTGCTCCTCTACCCTGGAGTCCGGTTATTTCCGGTGTAGGTTTAGTTCACTATTCAACGCACCACACTCGCCATCGGCTACTCCTTTCCCGATCCATGTGAGAAGGAATTGCCGAAAATCTGACCATCAAGCCACCGTTAACGTCAAAACGACCGAGGTGTATGCTCAACCTTCTCGGAAAAAAAAAAGAATTTAAAATCAAGGTAACACCACCTGATATTCAAAAACTACCGTAAAAAAATCTAACCCCCTCGCTTCTCTAAATCCAGCTTCCAAAATGCCCTTTTTGGCCAGGGGTACCGACTTTAATCGCGATTGAAAAATTATTCAAAATTAATGGCGCAGTTTTGCCGAAGAGCCAAAAATGAATTTATTTTTTGCTTATGGAAACAATGAAAGGATAGATAGATAGTTCGCAAGAGGCAGTCGTTCTTGAATGGTTCTCAGCCGTTCTCTTCAGCAAAAATTGTGAGGGGTTTCTTCCAGAGGGAAGCGAGAGGACAAAGGCTATTCTCACCAGATTGCACAAGAAATAGCGAGGGTCTTCGTGACAGGAAGGTAAAGGAAGTCTTTATATAGTCGAGTGGACGCATTACGATTGTGCAGGACAGCAGTGTCCTGTACAATCGTAATGCGTCCGGGGAATCGAGTGAGCGTAAAGGACAGTGGACATGATGGGGACAAGATTGGGAGAAAGTCCATCCTGTCTGCTTTTTGCGGGCATTCAGACGAGACGTGTCGTCTGGATGTCTGCAAATACTGCCCGAAATGCAGGAGGAGAATCGTTTTTTCCCCCTCCCCTCCTTTTCGTTTTCTGCTGAGGTCTGATCATTCTTTTCCTCTTCTGTTCCGTCTGGTCTGTGGACCTAAAGTCGAGTTGCTTCGAGGCCCCGTTTATCGAAGACATGAAACGTCTTCATCTCGCAATCACGGCTGAATTCGTGCCCGCCCTGCTGAAAAAACCTCATGAGAATCTCATGAGGTTTTCGGACAGAGGTCTCATGAGAATGACCTCATGAGGTTTGAAACAGATATCTCATGAGGTTGACTTCACGGGGTTCTCGCATAGAGGCGTCACTTGCCTCGTGGCCCAATAGCCACGAAAAGTCTCTTGGGACTCAGCTTGGAAGGTTCCACGAGTCCTTAAACGAGAAGTAATCATATACGAAAGAATACTTACGGTTAAACAACTGTCATTTATTCCATCCTCAATGCGTC